GGAGCATGTTACTAAGTCAGGAGCCAGGAAAGCCAGAAAGGTGAAATTTTAAGGAGATGTTTCCTCACAGTTCTGGCGGCCAGTCTTAATTTGTTTAGCTATAAGCATTTGCCGAAAGAACCGGTGCCGGTAGCGACAAAAACTGCGGAAAACTATGCAAAAAACGCATCTTCGCACGAGCAGCCCTGCGTTGGCCAGTTCTTTTTTTTACAGTAATATCCCGAATATAGGGGAAATTTGAGACCGCATTTTTTGTAAAACGTGCGCTCAAAGCAGAGAATATTAGATAGATGCAAACGCTTTTGCTGCTGCATGAAAACCGTGCGAAAACATGTGATCACACCAGCAACCTTGCCACGGCAGCTGTTTATCTTTTTCAGAAAAATTTTTTGCTTTTTGAAAACTGTCATATAGTGAGCAAGCAATTTTTTCAATAATCAAAGTGTTTGCAGGTGTCAATCCTGCGAATGTTCCAGCTCCAATTGATTACAGTAAGCCGTATATGATCAAATGTGATTCACGTGGATCATGCTACGCAAGCCCACTGAATGATGATGAAGTACCTCCTCTACCATCTTACAATAAAGCACTTACTTGTTCAACTCATCCTTTATGAACTTCTCAGTAAACACGTGGTAGATGAACTGCGCGGCTTTATCGTAGTTCTACGCAACTGTGCAAATATAACAACACGTGCACTGAGTTTAATCGCTAGTTTCAGGATTTTATTGGAATTAGGCTTTTTCACAAGTCGTTCATTGGTTGCTCTGTTCAGACGTACTTCCACTGCTTACGCTTATTCCACATGCACGTTTATCTTTATCATTTTCGCTTTGCATAATTTTTGCTTATTATGCAAATAAAATAAATTCTGATTAGATCATACCTACGTATCCGGAAAATTCTGCTCCAGCATTTTAGAAGTAAACCATCTGAAATTTTCGGAACATATTTTCTGCCGATATCAACACGCTTGTCTCCCTCCTTCAGAAATGACCTATGACCTTAGGCCTACGTTCGTGTTAATATTATTTGTGGAAGAGCAAGAAACGCACAAGCAATTTGGAAAATGAATTTTTAAAATAAATTGCGGCGCTAAAATCATGCTTTACCTCTTGCTATACACTAACTGTTGCCTTCATGACTAAACTCAGAATAATTTTGTAATTTCGAAGAGAAGCAAGATAGGAATGTGAAATTCTCGGATTTCAGTCTTCCGCATAAGTTGCTTTAAATAGAG